TAGGGTAATTTACGTCTGTAAGCCCATCCAACTCCACAGCCCAGAAAACGAGGGCCTTCCGGCTATACTAATTCCATCACAGAACCCCCCTGTTCTCCTTTGCAAGCAGAGGACAGTGATGTGAAACAGGGCCTGAAATCGGGGTGGTGTCTGTGTGTATTTCCTCCTGGGAACATCCATTGTTCCTGCTGCCTGGCATCCACCATCCTTCTAGAATAATCCCTCCACCATTCTCAGGGAACAAGCCTCTCCTCACATCCCTGTGCTTTGCTCAAGTCAGGCCTGGCTTTCCCAGGACTCGGGGTATGGTTCCAGACGGACACGCCTCCCAGGCACAGCCAGTGAGACCCCAAGACATCTTTTCTCAGACTCTTGGGAGGAGGGGGCTGTCCTCAGCTCCACTGCCCCAACTTGTACCGTGAACTATTTAGGAAAGAGGAAATTAGCCCTGAGGAAGTAAAAGTAAACTACTATGAAAAGATACCCACATTTCTTCTGTCACTAGGGTGACACAAGATGTCCATCAACGGGAAAAGGCAGTGCTGTCCATTGTCAGGTGAGCAGGAATGCCGTCCTGACCCTTGTTTTCCATGATGCACCAAACTTCGAGTTTCTGGCTTCAGATCCTGTCAGCCCGTAACTGACTCGGTGATAAGTCAGAAGTGGCTGTGCCAATAGGACCACCAAGTGGAGCAGGGTGACTTCTTCCAGCCATCACCTGCTGTCTGGCCTCAACTGTCTACTGCCATCCTTGGGAACCCTTCTCACTCGGTCTCTCTCTCCCTGCTGTGTGGGTAGTACAGATGGAAGGCTCACCTTCCTAAAGTGCTGTTCATGCATGGCATATCCCCTGGCCACCCCCCTTCAGGGGGGCCTCATACCCTAGAAAGTGACCAGTTAAATTTGGACATGGCAGGGCACTTGGGGTCTGCCTCAGGGTCTGCCCCACCTGCTCCTGTGTTACCCTTCACAGACTCTGCTCCAAGAGGGTATTGGCCCAGTGTCTTCTGGACACAATCCAAACTCTCCACCCACTCCTCTCTCTCACTGTTTGCTTATCCTCCCATCCTTTAAGGCTCAGCTCAAATCCTCCCTTCTCAGGGAGGCAGTCTCCAAATTTCACAGCCCCAAGCCTCTCTTGAAGACCACAGAGCCCCTGCAACCTGGCATATAGGAATCCCCACCTATTGCATAGAGACTGAGGTCCTTGACTTCACCGTCACCAGGGGTAGGGGCTGAGACTGGTACTCTGAGGAAGCCCCAGTGTGTGGCAGTGATTTCATCATATAGTAACAGCACCATCGTTTTTTCTTTTTCTTTCTTTCTTTTTTTTTTTTTTTGCAGTTTTTGGCCGGGGCTGGGTTTGAACCCACCACCTTCGGCATATGGGGCTGGCGCCCTACTCCTTTGAGCTGCAGGTGCCGCCCAGCACCACCGTTTTTTAGAGAGTATAGAACTCTGTGTGAGAGACTGTCCTGAGTATGGCACATCCTACCTCATTTGTCCCATTTAAAGTTCATAGCAACCTTTATAAGGAAGCTATTTCTCAGAAACTGAGACACAGAGGGATTAAATAACTTGACCCAGAACATAGTGAGCCCAAGATTTGAAACCAGCCCATTGCTCCAGGCCCCAAGCAGACTGCCTTGATCCATGACTGCTATTTGTGATGAAGGCCTCAACTTTAGCCGACGTGTTAATACTTTCATTAAGGGCAAAGGAATTTTCAAAGATGCCATCAGTTTCACTCAAGGGTTCACCTGTCTTCTCAATTGGCCATCAATTGCCAGGTAAGGCTGAATGGAAAAGCTGTGATGAGACTCACCATGTGTGGGAAGGGGACAGAGTTACATTCATTAAATTACTTATGGCGCATCCACTGCCCGCCAGGCAGTGTGCCGCATACATGACCCTGAGATAAAGAAGAGCTGAGCTTGGAGCTTCAGCAAGTGTGATATGCTCTGTGTCTCAGAAACATGATGCAAAAATGATTTTCTTTTCAAAATGCCACTCTGGAAAGACCACTAGGGTTTCTATAATGTTAGAGGGGATTGGAAAGCCCAGCAATAAAAGTAAAGTATTACACCCCAACTCTCAGTTAAGAAACAGAGGTCATCAAGGTGTCTCAGACGTGTATTTATGCCTGGATCTGCCCTCCCTTCTGAACACACTGCAGCTTGCCAGGAAAGCCAGGGTGTATTTAGGGTGCTTTGCTTAGAGACCTTGGCAGATAGAACACTTTCTGTTGTTGATTCTTGGCTCTTGGGTGGAGAAAGGCTTTCTATGGGCAATTGGGTGACTATCCTAGACCCTGCCTGCTCTGGAATTTGGGCTCACAAAGTGATGCTGCAAGAACGTAAAGTCATGTCTGCATGTGACTCAAACGATGGGATAGCTACGAGAGAGGGTTTCCTCAAGGCAGGAGGTCGGTATTTTTTTTTTTTTAACTTGAGAAGTCATTTGAAAAGGGCCACAGAGTTAACTTAACTTGGCTGGGTCAGATTTCTCAGATAGGTCCCATACTGGGTCCTAGCATCTGAGTGTTAAGAGTCCCTACCTGGTAGGTGCCCTGGGGAGCCACTGAGCACCAGACCCAGGGGAACATCACCTACATTTAAGACAAGAAACCAATTTTCCTGTATTTCTTATCTTGGCTGTTCAGTGGACAAAAGCAGGCACTCAGAATGGCTTTATGCAGTGGCTGATGGGAGACATTTCTTAAATCTTGAAAAAACATTCCCCTTTCGTGGGCACCTGAGCATTGCTGTCTCAGACAACTGGTCAAATCAGCAGAATGCCGCTGACGCTCCTCCCATCTAAGAAGGAAGAGAGCCGTGGCTGGAGCCACCTGAAGGAGCCCATGGAGCAGTGACTTTCAACTGGTGTGCCAGGAAAATTTGTAAAGACCATTAATCAAATTATTTTTGAAAGAAGTTAAAAACACAGTAAGTACATTATTTTTTTACTCTTCTTTTTGATCAACATAATTTACGTGTGATGTGGAAGTTTAACTATAGGTTCAAGTGTATCATGAGATAAAAAAGGCTGAAAAACACTGCCCTGGAGCTTCTTTCTTTGGGATTTCTAAATTCTTTGCCATCAACGTTCAACCTTCAGAGTTTGCCACCTTCAAAGGCTTTTTTATTGGTCAAATTCTCTGTCCTAACATCCAGAGCAGTCAAAGGTGCAAAGTTTAAGCCCTGCACACTAATGGGACTGGGTGAGTCCTAACACATACTGTGGATTTTCTATCGAACTTTTGTGTTTTTAGGTAGTTCAAGTTACAGTTTGAGGCCTGGACTTGATGAAATGATAATTATTTGTCAGATATTCTTTCATAAAAGCAGGGTTCTACAGATTACAGGTCATCACCTATCTTTGCAAATAGTTTCCCTGGAACACAGCCGTGCTCCTTGGTTTGCGTGTGGTCTCTGGCTGCTTTCTGGCTAACATAGCAGACTTGAGTTGGTGCAGCAGAGACTGCCAGACCTGCAAAGTCTCAAACATTTACTACCTGAGACTTCACAGCAAAAGCTTTCTGACCCCTGGATTAGAAAATTCTCTAAGTCTCCATAGGTCTCTGGGCAGTGATGAAAGAAAGACAAAAATGTTGAAGTAGATTTAAACATACATAGCTATAAAACTGGAATAATACCAACTTTGGATGCAGATGCAAAAATATTTGACTACAAGTTTTAAATACTCATTGCTGGTATATCTCTGTATATTCCATCTCAGCTCAAAGGTTCCAGACCCAGCTGGTTTTATGGGTGATTCTTGTCTAACCTTTTAGTTACTTCGTATCGTAGATTCCCCCAAAATATGGAAAGCTTCCCAAAGTGCTGAGACTAGAATACCCTTGATTCCAAAAACCTAACAAAGAAAGCATGAAAGAGAAAACTATAGGCTGATCTCATTTATGAATTTAGAGGCAAACAGCCTATGAATATCAGCAAATTGAATCTAGTAATGCACTGAATGCTATTTGTCGTCTATTAAAAATTATTAATGTATTAAGTTCATAACTTCTTAACTTAGTAAAATGTAGTGTGAAGAGTTAATTGATACCTAAATTGCCCATCCCAGATCAGAAGAAACTATGTTAATTTTAATGTATTATTTATATTAAAGATATAATTAAATTCTATTTAAATACACATATGACATACATTTATGTATTGAATTTTACACAGAGATACCCACTTCTGTGCACTTACTGAACTGAAGGTCTGGAATCACAGCTCTAACCCAGGTGCGTGTGTAACGCCACTGGGTCACTGACCCTCCACGAGCGTTAGGTAGACAGGAGGGGCTGCACCATGCAGTCTTGAAACCTTGACTTCCAAGTGTCAGTTCAAGACAGACAGGTAGCCAGGCCCCATTCTGGTTGTTGAACGAGCTGAACAATTTCAGTGCAATCCAAGCATAGAGAGGAAGATGCTTGAGGAGGCACTTCTGAGTGGCACAGGCATTTGCTCAAATGTTTTACTTTCTCATTTCAATTCAAAAGACAGCATGCCGCTTGAATCTGTGTATTTGTGGGAAGGACTACACAGGCAGCACCAAGAACGAGAACAATGGGCTGTGGAAAGAAGAGAGGCCCCTCCCACACAGGGCTTTCTTTTTCTTCCTAGGTCTTTTTAGCTTCACAAAGGAGACATATTTTCCATATAATTGCTAAACATGTTTGCTTATTAAATTATTCTTTAATTAGTTAATGATTTTAGCCATGCTTTGCTCTTCAGATATTCATTTTGTGTAATAAAATAATTATAGATAATTAAACTATCTCAGCCTTTTTCTTTTCCCCCAGCAAACATGCTGGGTATCCAAAAATGACAACAAGTTGTAAATTAATCTGGAAAACAAAGCATGACAGATGAATGATTTGGTTGGAATTAATTAGGCACTAATTATATACTGGAACTAGATGAAGAATGAGACTCATTATAAAGATAAAACACTATTCTGAAAAGATACACAGTTACCCACATCCTTACCTTCCGAGGTGATGGAGTTGTTCCGTATCCAGGCCAGCGCCTTGAGGCAGTCCTCCTCGTCGCTGAGAGTGAAGTGATTGCAGGGGACCTGCCCGGTGTAGCGGCGCCTGCTGCTGTGGGGGACCTCCCGGTTTGTCAGGTGCTGACTAATGTCGGCCCCTGTGGGGCATGGGACCTGAGGGGTGTCAGAGAGATGCTACTTCAGTGGTAACAGGAAATGTGGACGTAGCAAGATCCAGCATGGGTATGACTTTTTCTGTTTCCCAATATAATCAGTCAGGTTTTCACTAAGAGGAAAGAAGCCTGGGAGGAATGACCATTTTAGAGACAATTTCTAGAAAGAGTGACTCTGGCCATTTAATGCCGCACAAGTCATTTCAGATCTCAGAGGTGGAGGTTTCCAGATTCCTTAGGTTATTAGGCAAGGTGGGGGGCAGCCTGCTTCTGTTCCACAATGTCTGGGAAGACTCAAAGGCTAGGAGGGTGACTTGGTAGCAGGGGGATAAAATCATCTGGAGATAATTAAACTATCTCAATTCCTTTTTCTTTTCCCTGCCTTTTCCCCTTCCCCTTTTCTCTCCCTCCCTTCTTCCCTTCCTTCCTTCTTTTTGAGATAGAGTTTCACTCTGTCACCCTAGGTAAAGTGCCATGGTTTCAGCCTTGCTCACAGCAACCACAAACTCTTAGGTCCAAGTGATTCTCCTGCCTCAGCTTCCTGAGCAGCTGGCTCCCAAGTACAGCATCCACCGCAAACTCAGCTAATTTTCTATTTTTAGTAGAGACAGGATCTCACTCTGCTCAGACTGGTCTCAAATTCCTAAGCTTAAGAGATCCTTTTGCCTCAGCCTCCCAGAGTGCCAGGATTACGGGTGTGAACCACCATGGCCGGCCTCCCAGAGTGCCAGGATTACAGGTGTGAACCACCATGCCCAGCCTCTCGATCTATTTTCTTCCTCCAGAAAACACGTGAAGTACTCAAAATGTCAACAAGTTGTTGTTTGTCTAAAAACTGATCTTGGCTGTGAGCTGGGGTTGCTGGCCAGAGCACCCACATCTGCCCTCACCATGGGCTTCTTCATAACATGGTGGCTGGGGTCCAAGGGTAAGCATCCTGAGAGAGAGAGAATCAGTACAGAGAGCTCCATGTTCATTTTTAACCCCATCTTGGAAGTCAAGCACTGTCATCCCCTCTATGCTATTCATGGAGGTTGTCACAAAGGCCTGCCCAGGACCAGGGGGCAAGGACCTAGCCTCCACCTCATCATGCACGCATGGCAAGGCTCCAGGACATGGAACTGAGTCTGTGTGGCCATTTTTGGTAAAATGCAGTCTGCTGGAAACACAATTACATCTGGAGTTGAAATGCAAGTGTGCAGAGGAACTAGGCAGAAAGGAAATCGACCTGGTGGATTACTATATTCTTAGATGATGTTAGGCTTCTTCTTCACTTTGTCAGGGAAATATTCTCTGTCCCTTCCTCCCCCCTCCTCTCCCCTCTCCCTCTTTCTTTCTCTCTCTATGTTGATCCCCTCACTATAACTTCTGTTCTCTCCCTTTGACACTGACCTGAGTGGGAACAGCAGCTTTCCTCTACTGTAAGGAAAACAGCAGTAAAAACACAATAAAAGATGCCAGTTAAGTTGTCTTCTGTGTCAAGAAAGTGGAAGCCACCTGAGGAGGGCTGCCCTGGCCGAGGGTCCTGCTATAAGGCAGCTCCATCCCGTCGCTGTCAGGGTAGAGTGTGGGTTCAGGACAGCCAGATCTGATTTCTCAAGAAATGCCAGATCCTTGGGTTTTTATGTGGCTTCTTGATTTCCTATGATATTGGTTCAAATTAAAACCAAACAGAGAAATGCCATTATGAAAACCAAATAAAAAAGCAGCGACCTGAGTTTACCCAGTGGGCCCCGACTGTGTCCCTCTGATGCTTGTTTGGCTGCCAGGTGGAGAATACATGGAGGACAAAGGGGCAGGCAGAGGGGTTCAAGCCTTAAAGGTACCTTGAGATGTCTGGTGGGAGACCTAGCATACCCGCTGGCCTGCTGCACTCAGGGTACAAGACCACAGGGACGGGGGCAGAGGCGTTTTCCCCTCCCTTTATTGCACTGGGGCAGGGCTGGCTGGTGCTTGACTAAATCCCACCTGGCTGTTAGAAAACTTTTGGTTATACCTTTCTCAATAGAAATGGTAAAGCCTTAGTACATTACTGCGATGTATTTAATTCGATTTCAAACTAGATTAAATTAACACAAAACAAAGCTGCATCAACATTTAAAGCTGGATGTCCCCTCTCCGTGAAGGGCTGCAGTACAATTACTGTAGTTCACTATGTGTAACAGGCTCCTGGATACAATGCACACCCGTGTTTTGTCCAAACTTATGTGAACATGGAATTAGGACATCCTGTCAAGTACTTCCTTATTTTTTCCCTCAAAAATTTGGGCAAAATATGATATAGTTAACATGAAAAGGAACAACTCAGTAAGTAGTCATTTACAGTAACCAAAATTGTGAAGGTTAAATTTTCTTATTAGCAATAGAACTTGTTTAGCAACATTGCACTATATTGATAAAGATGTTGATATTATTCTGCTCACAGTTATTGACAAGTGGCCCACTAAAGACTTTGGCTTGAAGTGCACAGTCTTGAATACTGTGCTTAGGAGGTTTGAAACCTCAATGGAACTATAAGGAACAGTATGGGTCCTTGTAAAAAAGAAAATGAAATTTGGGTAACACTCTGTCAATTTAGTGAATCGTGGTCTAACAAATCATCAAAAATCCTTAGCAGAAAATTGAAGAGCAAACAACCAAATTGAGAGTTATTCAATTTACAAAACTTTCAATCAGTTATTCAGTTTTTCCAAATAGTAAGTGTTCGGACAAAATAAATAAATAAAAGGAAGAGGAGAAAAAAGAATAAGATTCAAACTGAAAAGCAGCTCACGACACTCTTGAACCACAGGTGCATTCTGGTACCCCACAATTGTCCGTGCACTCAGATATGTGCAGTTGTTTTGCACACCTCTTGACACACCAAGTTAAGAAAATTAAAGAAAACTTAATGAGATTATGTATTTCTTATGTTCATATAATGATCTTTCTACAAAATAAGGAAAACTCCAGCTAGGATTTTAAATCCCAAAACCAAACTAATTTGTGCACAGAGAGTTCAGCAGAACTCAATAAATAAAAAATTATCTGTGGAAAAACATCGATATTATGTCATCAAAGTCAGGTTGGGAATAAACTTTAATACAAGGGCATAGGATGGGTATATTTAATGAAGAAGTGCCATCCATTAGCTTATTAAACTAGAGGGTTGTCTGCTACTAATTAAACTTCCACTAACTTTTGGTTGGAGAGCATTGGAGAACTTTCCAACATCAGTGACTTGACACTGAGCAGTGGCGGTGGGAGCCCCTTCCCACAGCAAGTTAATACCTTACGGTGGCATGGACTGATGGTGACCTACCCGATAGTCTGCCTTTCTTTCTTACTATCAGACCCCTGGTAATATACCCGGATGCCAAACTACATTTCCTAACTGATGACCAAGAGGTAGTCAAGAGATACATCAGGCGTCCTTGGGTGAGGCCAGGAGAAAATTCATTCTCCTCTAGTCTTTCCTCCTTCCTGCTTCTTGCAAATGGAATGTCTGGAGCCGCAGCAGCCTTCCTGAGACGCTGAGATGGAAACCACATATTAAAGATGGAAGGGGCCTGAGGTCCTGATGATACCAGGGTTCCACTTCACTGGACCTGAGTTGTTTTTCTCCAGATATTTTTAGTTAAGAGAAAGAAAGAAACTTCTTTTTCTTTTTGAACTGCTTATTTGGCTCTACCTATAAACAGTTAAGTTCTAGAATCTCTGTTGTAAATGCTTTTAAAAGCCATCAAGTGTAATCCTTGTGCCATATCAATGAGGGACAGGAGGAGGAAAGGGAAGGAGGGAAGGGGAGGGAAACAGTAACGGTGGTTTAGCTCATGCCCTGGAGCCAGACCACGTGTGGGTGGGGAACCCGCAGCCTTAAGGCCACAAGGGGACTTCTAGGTCCTTCAGTGTGGCCTTCTAGATCCGTCAGTGTGACCTCCTAGGTCCTTTAGTGTGGCCTTCTGACTGAATTGTATAGAACAAAGCTTTTTATTAAAAGAGCGCAGCAGGGAAAGATGAAGCTTTCCTTGCTTCCTTTGGTGCTTACAAAAGACAATCTTGAAATCAGAAGGCTGCAGAGCGCCCCACTTTCTTGCTGACTGGCCTCGAATAAATCACCTCAGCTTCTCTGCACCTCGGTTCCCTCATTTATAAAGTGGGGATGAAAATGGCACGACCGGAGTTACGGTGAGGACTCCATCAGTTAACTGCATGTCTGTCTCTCCACGAGCATCCCACCAGGGTCAGGGGCTCCTCCCGCCCTGACCAGGGTTCCTGTGACATGCCGTGCTCCTGTCTCTGCAGCTGTCTGCTCCCTTGTTGATAGACTTTCATACTATCAGAAAGCTGTTTCTTTTTTTTTGACAGAGCCTCAAGCTATCCCTCTGGGTAGAGTGCCATGGCATCACAGCTCACAGCAACCTCCAACTCCTGGGCTCAAGCGAGTCTCCTGCCTCAGCCTCCCAAGTAGCTGGGACTACAGGTGCCCACCACAACGCCCGGCCATTTTTTTGGTTGCAGCCATCATTGTTGTTTGGTGGGCCGGGGCTGGGGATTTGAACCCGCCACCTTAGGTGTATGTGGCTGGCGCCTTAGCCGCTTGAGCCACAGGCGCCGAGCCAGAAAGCTGTTTCTTAAGATGAATAAGCTCTGTATCCTCACCGCTTCGGGCCTCTGCTCTAAATCTGCTTCCTGGGCTGCGATGTACAAGTCTAACTTGTTTTCCACATGAAGACCTTGCAGGGGTTGAGGACTGGCTGGCATCCTGTCCACCCCTGGCCACGTATCTGGAGTGACTGAGTTTCTGGCTGTGCTTGTTCTTTCTCTTTTAAAATGAGACTCCAAGAAGCCAAGGTCATATTGCCAGTGCAACTTGTTTTGTGACACATCCTTTGACACAGAGAGGTTCGGCCAGAACAGGGTCGCGGTGTCTGTATCGTCACCAGGAATGTTGCCCTTTGTCTCCTTAGTGTTTTTTCCCTCCAATTCTATTCACTGAGTATTTTTATTGCTGTTGCTTCT